TCCTTGTACCCTTGCTCACCCTGCAACAGGTATCTCAGGGCCTTTGCATGTGCTGTTCCCTCTGCCTGAAACAGTCTTTTCCACCTCCTCCTTGTCATCTATGTCTTGACTCAAGAACCGCCCCCTTCACAGGAGACTTCCCTGACCATCTGCATTAGGCAGGGGTTTCTGTATCTAATTTATATCTGTATTTAATCTGGATCATCTGTCTATTTGTATACGGGAAGACAGAGAAACAGAGATTTATTTTAAGGAGTTGGCTCATGCAATTGTGTGGCTCAGTAAGTTTGAAATCTCCAGTGGGCTAGAGATTCAGTTGAGCTGATGCAGCCTTTAGTCTGAAGGCTAGAATTTCTACACTGCTGTCTTGAATCCCTTATTCTTCAGGAAACCCTATTTATTTTTTTCCTCTTCATCCCTTCAGTAAGTTGGATGAGACCCACCCACATTATCAAACATAAACTGCTTTATCAAATATATATATATATATATGGAGCCCAGAGCATGATTTGAAATCATGAGGCTCCACCCACCCTCACGGAGGCCCCTGTCACCCCTCCCGCAATGCTGCACATGCAATATCCTGTCCGGTCAACCCGTTACAGCATCCCAGTTAATTAACATATTTCTCTATGATATATATATATATAAGAGAAGAAGGCAGAGGGAAAAATCTAAACTTCAGTGATGAGAGAGAATCATTAATCAGCTGCCTCCCACATGCCCTCTACTGGGAATTTAGCTGCATGTGCCCTGACTGGAATCAAGCTGTGACTTCCTGGTTTTTTAGATCAATGCCCAAGCACTGAGCCACACTGGCTGGGATAAGGTAAACTGCTTTTAAAGTCCAATCTGTAGGTTAATGACCGAATTCTGATCAGGTGCTGGGGAAATAAATCATCAATAAGGACAGCCTCTGTCATTGGGGACTAGAAATGTAGGAAGTGCATTTAGGCAAAGGTAGGCATGGCACTGAGGGAGTGACAGGTCCAGAAAAAGGTCAGAGGTCAGGCACAAATGCCTGGGAACAGCTGCGGTCAAGAGTCCTCGCAAATGGCCGAGAACCAGCGGCTTCAGGGGCTGTGCGAGCCGGTGCCCATGGGCAGCAGGGCACAGATCCCCAGAGTCGGGGCCACTGAGGCAGCTGACGGCTCCCAGGGCAGCAGGAGGCTCCCGGGTGACAAACGTTGCGGAATCTGAAGAATAATCGTCCACACGTGTGCCTTCTGCTCGTCTTGCTAGCAGGGCCGAGGAGGACACTAGCTTATTAACTTTTTCATAGAAAAAAACTTCGAGGATCTAGAGACTAGATGAGGCCTTTGGAGTTCCAGTTTCACTTTGCAACCAGTAGTTCCACTCAACCTGGTGGCTGTCATCCCCTCCCCCACTCAGTTCTGGTGATGCTGTGACCACAACAGCCCAGGCACTCTCTCCTCATCTGCTGACTCATGCCTTCTCATCACTCACGCAGGCTCCCCCATCAGGAATATCACCCTGCCTGCCCCATACTGCCCCCACCTGGGCATAGCCTCCCCACTGGGTCCTACATAAGCATGGAAGAGTCTGCTCAGGCCAATCTAGAAAGTGCTGACTGGGAGGTGAGCCTAGAGGACAAAAGGGAATGCAGGTGAGAATGCCACTGGAGATAGTGAGCAGTGAATGAGGAGTATGAGAACAGGTGTGGATGCAGGTGAAAATATAAGTAAAGGTAAGGGTAAGTTTACGGACAGACATGTAGGTGGGTGGCCAGGTGAGGATGCAAAAAAATGCAGGTGGATGTAGTTGAGGATGCAGGTAAGAGAGAAGGTAAAAATTCAGATGAGAATGTGAGAAAAATTCAGGTGAGGATGCAGTAAGAAGGCCAGTAAGCAAGTAGGTGAGAACTCAGGTGAGGGGGCAGTGAGCTGCAGGTGAGGATGGTGAGGGCATAAGTGCACAGGCAAGAATGCAAATGAGATTCTTGGGGATTTCAAGTAAGGACTGAGCTGAGATGCAGGTGAGGCAGCAAGGGAACAGAGCGGTTGCTTGTTGCTTTCCATCGCACAAAGACCTCCAGACTTTGGGAGATCACATGGAATACAACTGAAGCTTTATTGAGGGGTGCTGGAGGGGGGCTCAGTTGGGACAGCCAAAGACGATCATGCTCTCTCTGAAGCTGGCCAGGTCCCTGCACAGCTTCTTGTTCTCATCGTCTTGGCATTCGTCCGCTTCAGGCCACAGCTCTACCCAGGTGTCCTTCCCGATGATGTACTTGATGCTGGGGAGGAGGGACAAACAGCAGGGTCAGGAGGGGCACTGGAAGGGTGG